TTAATCTATAATTTATGGGGTCAGCAGGGGAACGGTAATGAGGACATGCAGCAGGCTGTACATATGGAAACGCAGCGTCTAGAAAGCTTTTTCTGCAACTGTTAGCTAAACAGCATCAAGGCGGGATCATCGATCAATAATCTGGATTGATCGATTTTATCATCTTTATCATATTGATAAAAATGATCAACTGAGACACTTAATGCAACTGTATGAACAACTGTAATGATAAAAGTTTCTGTTAAAGTTTTTAGACAGTTTTATAGTGGCCTAGTCAAAGTCTGAACTATGGCTTGACATTAACAAGCTGATTGTATTCAAAAATCTTCAATGTATCTAATTCAATGCAATTCTCCACAGAAATGCTGACTCATGTTCCAGCAAAGTGTTTTTAAAGACACACAGTAGTTTCTTCCTTTAATAACTGAAATCATCATTTGGGAATCAGCTCTTCTGTCGACTCAGGTTGAATTTTTATGATTCTAATGAAATGTTGGAAAACCTAATCCAGTTCAGATTTCTCCCAAACAGAAATGCTGCTCGTATGAAACGGCTGTTAAGGCAGCAGAGACGATGTTAGAGGGGATGTGTTTTAATATCTCTCTTCTCTCTCTGCATCAACAAAGCTTCGTCCTCAGCTTCTCCTGGAAATGGGGTCAGAGTTCAAGTATTCACTCAGAAAATGTATGTAGAAAATTAATCTCAGATTTTTCTTCTTGCACATGTTTGACATTTGGGACTCAGAGACTTCTTTATTTCTTCTAGAAAATTTCTGAAATTTATCTAAAAAAAATTCAGTTTTTTTCTATTCAGATTTATTTCTAGAACATCTTTCAGATTATTCTTTTCCTATAATTTTCTGAGCGAATCTCAAAATGTCCTCCTCATCTCCCTGCAGTGACCCTCATCTTCTTCTTCCTCCTCCGGTTCCGTTTCCTCAGATCTAATAATGACCTTTGCGCGCGGCGGAGCGCGCTGCGCGGCGGAGCGCGGCAGAGCGCGGCGCAGCGCCGCGCGGCTCGGTTCTACGGCAGGACGGGTCGCCATGGCAACGGGCGAGGAGGGGGACAGGACCCATGGCGGCTGACACTCATCCTCCCACTCGCGTGGTGAACGCGGTGCGTGACCTTCATCCCCTGCGCCTGCAAGGAAGCCGCTTTCCTGCATCGCGGCTCCGCGTCATGAAATCACCGCAGCCTTGAGTTAAAGCGCCGCTTTCTGCGCGGTAACGCGATCCGAAAGCCACGTGACCTGAGCAGGGCGGGAGCAGAGGTGAGCCGGATGAAATTAAAGTTTATTATTGATCATCGCAGCAGCAAACAGTTACAGGATACAGCAGAGAAACCCAGGAAATGAAAGGTGAACCACAGACAAACTGTTTCTACTATTTCATGCATCTGTGAGTAAATAAAGTGTTAAAAAAAGAGACGTGCAGAGTCCAGCACCACTGATTAGATTTCATATTACAACACCGGTGTGCAGGTTTGTCTCGTCCTTCCTGCACATGTTATTGTCTCTTCTGCACATGCGCACTGTGCAACAAAACATGAATAAATAAAATGCTTAGAAATATTCAGATTGCATCTCATGAATCTGCAGCAAACCACAACATAAGCAGTAAAACGTGGAGAGCTGAAACATTCAGATAATCACATCCTGTTTTCAGGAGGCTGTTCCTGTGTGAGGTGAGTTATTTTCATTACGGGCCTGTTGGTTAGACATGCTGGGTCACAGGAAAGCCACGTTACATTCAGTCCAAACATGAAAATGAAGTTAAAAAAGGCAAAACAAAAAACTTTTGGTACATAAAGGCATTTTAAGGGCAGCTGAAATTCATCCAAGGCTGAATCTTTGTTATGTTAAATTTGGAAGCAAAAAAATAAAACTAAAAATGTCAAAATTTAAATGTATTTTTCTGCCTTGATGGCACAAAACAAACTGATGGCAACATATCAAACAAAATAAGTTGTTTAAATCCAATTTTTCCCTAAAACAGCAAACAGACAACACACCAGATATTGAAACAAAGATTTAAATAGTGATCGGCACAGCTAGCTCATTTTTCATTTAGCATTTTTGCTAACATTGGAAATGTTTAGCATATATTTTCCCCTTAATCAACATTTTCAAGATAAATTTTAAGGTGCTAAGTTGAGGTACCAATGGATGCAACCATTTCACATCAGTTGGTAGCCACTAGCTAGTGAGCTAACAGCTAGCTAGTGAGCTAACAGCTACCTAGTGAGCTAACAGCTAGCTATTGTTCCTTTAGTGCTAACATGGAAAGAAAGTTACCAAAATAAAATTGAAATTAAATTTTTTGCAAATAAATTGTGAGTAATGAATAGAAGCGTTGCATATCGGTTAGTATTGATTAGTTTTCAGCATAATTCTGCTAATATGTAGCTAATTTTTGGTTTGGCTCCAGAAGGTGGATTACAGGTAAATCCAGCAGCTCTAGGAAAGTTTTATTAAAGGGATATAAATTTGGTCAATCCTTAGTTAACCACTTGAGGGCACTCACAAAATATTTTAATGAAATTCCCAGATAGACAGCTGATCTTTTATTTTGACGAAGAAAATAAAACAAGTTGTAAGTATCAGGGAAAAGTAACGTCCCTGGTTATGATCCAGCGGGACACTGAGAATTTCTCGCTGATGTATTTGACCTTTGACCCTTTCATAAAAACACATGTAAACATCACAGGACTTGAAATTTAGTTTCCTCATGTTCGCGCCAAACAGCTCAAGTGTTTTTAACAAAATCCCAGCATTCATGTCGACACGAAGCAGCAGCAGTTTAATGTTATGTATTAAAATGAATTAAGTGGAATGTGAATGGGTGTAACATAATTAACTCGAATTAAACAAAACCTGTCTCATTTTACAAAACGTTTGTCAGAAATGTTTACAACTGAATGAGGCTTAAAGATTATTATCATTTAAGCAAATTTTTGCTTTTGTCCAGTGATTTTACTTAAATCCTCAGAAATTTTAAATTAAGGAGTCAATTATAGGTCTAAAAATTGTTTTTCTGTTTTATCTCATTAAAAATATGTTTGTCTTCCAGCTGAATTCAGAAGATCATTCAGAAGATAATTAAAGAAAATTACATTAAAAAAATAAGTTTGTCATCTGGTGTGTTGTCTTGCTTATTTTCAATAAAATATTGAGTTGAAAAAATACAAAAACATTTACTTCCTGTATTTATTCACGCTCAACACAGAACCAGGTTTTTGAAAAATACTAAAGCAAATCAAGTGATTCTTCTCTTGGGGAAGAATCACTTCCTGTCATGCGTGATAATAAAGTCATGTGAAGAAATCCATAAATAAAAAAAAAATTGCACAATCCTCTATGTTTTGATCAACACTTTCATAAAATAACAGGTTTTAAAAAGATATGATGTTTTTTTTTTTTTTTTTTTGCTTTGTTCAGATTGGAAACAGAAAACTCACAATATTTTTACTTTAATCAAATCCACCCATTTGTTTGTGTTTCTATGGTTCCTGATATACTTAATTAAACCATTAATCAACTGTTAAAATGTGATATAATGTAAATATGAGGGTTTATTTGGCTTTTGAGTGCTTCAGTGATTGTAATCAAATAAAGAAATGTTTAAAATGATTCCTCTCTCATCTCGGAAAACCAACATTTTAGTGCAACTTTCGAGATGTTTTGTCCTCCGTAGAGCCTCATGTTGTTATGTAAACACAAATACATCATCAATACACAACACAAGTATCAGAAATTTCATCCCCGTCCTCCAGAAACACGAATCCTTAAAAATCCTGGAGCGGCAAAGAGAAGGCAACAAACTGAACAGGAAGTAGAAAAACTACAGCTGAGAATAAAAATAAAAGCACTTCATGGATTGATTATATACCGGTTACCTTAAATAATGACCGTTAGCCCTTCATGAGTTATGTGTTCATTAACTAATGGAAAATCTGGATTTCTAATGAACATTTTTAGTCTGGATTTTAGCCAATTTGTTTCCTAAATTAAGTGGAAAACGTTTTTTAAATGGTTTTTTATCTTGATTTCAAGTTAAAGTTAAGAGGGAAAAAAATGAGGCAGTAAGATTGGAGGCGACTTCACACAAAATGAGACGAAAACAAACAGAAAGTTGGTCATTAAAAGAAACATACAGTTATGGAATCAAGAGGTCATTATCACTTCATCCCCATATTATTACAACAATATTATCAAATTATTCTGACTTTGTTGTCGTATTAATCTGATTTTATTTTCACATTATTTGCATTATTACTCCAGTTTTATTATCATATCTCACAATTGTAGGAGAAAAAAAAATATTTTAATTTTATTTCTGTTATTACAAGAATAAAATTATTATGACCTTATTCTGGTAATTTCATATTTTTTATACGCCATCATAGTTCTAAACATCAAGACTGATTTTTGTTTTAATTTGTTCTTCATAGCATATAAATAATTACCTTTGTTTGTCTTCTCTGAAAGACGAACTTCTAAAATGCTGCTCAGCTTGATTTTCTGTAAACTGGAACCATCTCCTCTGATCTGACTAACCAGACTTCATTCAGAAAGGATTTTCATCCAAATAAACCTTCCTGTTGTTCACTATGAAACAATCAAGATTTTCAGTTTCAGCATTTCTGGAGGACGAGAGACGGGCGATAGATAAATATGTCCCACGGTCACCTAGCTAAGAGTAGAGTGGCTATATGAAGGAGTAAAGCAGGCAAAGCCACGAGCTTGATGCACAAGTAGAATAAATAGAAAACATTCCCTATGTGAGCGCTGTTTGACATTCTCATACGTAGTGCTGGGTGACTTTACATCCATCGCTTTGTAGTCCAGAGGACGGATAGAAAGAAGGGAGGACGAGAGGAGAGCAAACATTTACAAAGAAGTGAGGCCAAGGTAACCCAGGAAGGAGTGTTTGTTGGAGCAGGGCGGAGAGGAGGAGGAGGAGGAGGAAAAGGAGGAAGAGGAGAAATAGGAGCGAGGTTTCAGAGAGATGAGCGTTGTGATGGGGAGCAGAGGAGATAAATCCCTCCACCCTGTGCAGTCGGAGAGCAGCGGCTGCAGCAGAGGAAGAGGAGGAGCAGCGGGGCGAGGAAGAGAGGAGGCGGTGTGCAGCCGCCGGACGTGTTTGCTGGAGCGCTGGCCGTCTCCGTGGGGGGCGTAGGTCCGGTGCGTGTGCACATCGGCGTGTGAGCGCTGGCGTTAGCGCTGGCGTTAGCGTGCTTCACCTTGCAGTGCAGCCGCAGACTGTCCCGCCGCTTGGCGCTGTAGGGGCAGAGGCCGCAGGTGAACGGCCGCTCGCCCGTGTGGACGCGCACGTGCTCCACCAGCTTGTTGGCCGTCCGCGTCAGGTGGCCGCAGCGGTCGCATCGGTACTGGTTGCCCTGGCGATGACCCTGGAAGTGGGCCAGCAGCTCCGGTTGCCCGGGAAACGACCTCTGGCAGATGCGGCAGCGATGCTCAGAGGTGCTCTGCTCCGGAGGCGTTGCCACGGCGACCGGCAGAGCTCGGCTGGGGGCGGCGGGGAGACGGGCCGGCCGTCTGGACAATGAGAAACATCCTCAGCTGAATGTCAGGAACTCTCAGCGTCTTTATTTAGGATTTGATCTGATTCACACAGAATGAAACATTTCTGGATCCTCACTGGGTTTAGTGTTTTTATGATGGACTGTCTGGTTGCTGAAATGTTATCCACTGATTTATTGATTGATAATATTTTAGAAATAAAATCTCAAAAGTGTGGAGTGCATTTATTTTCAGCCCAACCAACCAGGAAAACCAACTGCCTTCAATTTACAAAAAATTCTAAGTCTATTTGTGGTTTGGGGATTTTTCTGCACTGTAAAAATGCCTTTCTTAAAAATTAATAGTTTAGGAAACAAGATGTTTTTTCCATATTACAAATGAAGAAATCTGAAACTTTTTATCAATATTTAAGAATTATTCACTCAAAACAAGCTCCTATGTCTTGTTAAACAGTTACCTGTAGTTTAGTTTTTTCTGATTTCAAATACTAATGTATTTGCACTAAAACTGGGTAAAAATACCTGAAGACATTTAGTGTTTTTGGACTGTGGGGATTGTAATTCCAAATTATTTGTGGAAAATTTGACGACTCACACAGTTCTTTGTATCTAAATTATTCTAAAGAAATAATCACAATATTACTTCTGTTACATATACATATTTAAACTTGCTTGTATAATTGCAAACGTTTATCTAAATGATTTATTTAGTCATCATTTTACCCCGAAAATGAAGTTAAAAAATAAAAAAGTAATGACACTCATACCGTTAGTGAGAGTATGTAAACTTCTGACCACAATACTATTCATAATGTCTGTTCCTATAAACACATTTAAAAAAACATTTAAGCTAAAACCAAACATATTTAGGTAAAACAGTATTGTTTGAAAAAATATAAGTACTTATTTATATTAAATGTGTCAAAAATTTGGAACATTTAGATAAAATTTCAAGCAGATGAAATCTAACAGTGAAGAGTTGAAAAACTTCACTGTTACAAAAAACTTGAAAAGTTTTTACTATTTTGATATAAAATGTTTAAACATCTTTGTTTCTGAAAATAAAACTAAAACATAATGAAGAAAACAATTGCAGAAAAGGATAAGAACCACATGAACTGACCTCATTTCTCCCGTCTTGCCGTGTATGTGCGTGTCCACGTGGGCCATCATCTCTGCCTCCTGATTGGTCGAATGGTCGCACCTGCAACAGTGCAGCGAGAAGGAGCTGTGTTCCCATTGGCGGTGCTCCGTCATGTGACTCTTGAAAAGGGCGTGGCCCTCCGTCTCAAAGCCGCACACGTGACACCTAAAACGGACGAAAAGGAAAACGTGTTTATCACCTGAAACAGGCTGTTGCCATGGTAACGGACCCGAGCTCTACGCCCTGAATGTGTTTGTCTTGAGTTAAATCTGTCTGACAGCTGACATCGAGTCTTTTGTCCCAAATCATGTCCAACTCAGTAATTCTTACTAGTGAGTTCCCCTCTATGCCGATGATATTGTAGTGGGATCATTATTTTAATAAAACGTTTCAGTACCAGCTGGACCTCAATGGAGCCAAGAACTAAATGGGCCCTCGGTCACATAAAGGTGATGTTAATATTGATATTAATTCACAACATATTTCTGTAACATACAAAAGTAAAAAGTAAAACCAGATGTCACTGCTTGTTCTGGACGACTAGGCTGAACACACCAACTGATACTACATGATATAGAAGAAACATTAGTTAATTTAAATACTGTTGTAAAATATTTATTTACTACACAGCACTGTGCCATTTAAATATACCATAAAATATAACAGAATTGCTAATAAATATTTTTCTACTGCTGTTATTTCTGTAAATGATGTTAAAAAAATCCACCAAATTTTGTTCTATATTTTTATAATTTGAAATTTATTTTATTGTGTACTTTAAACAAACTCACAAATAAAAGTAAAAATTAGAGCAACACTACTTGGCTATGAATGCAGTTTAAATGTATATGTATACTTTTTAAAAAAAAGTTTTTGGCGGTTTTTGCAGGAGATCTGGTGTTTGTGAAAAGCATTGATCTATTTAATACCATTTTAACCTTCAGATTTAGAATAAATAAATACGTAAACAGGGAAGCTTTTCCATTTACTGGGGGTTTAGCTTCCACTCGCTAATGCTCTTGACTGTTCTGTAGTTTAAGGTTAAAATGTTGACTGGTTTGGATTTTATTAGGGTTGTATTTGATAAATGCATTAACATTTATACTTTGAGATGAAACACAACATATTTTGATTTAATGACCTTCAGTTCAATGCAGTTTTTTACATTCTGATTCAGAGAAATAAAGCCAAATCAAAATGATTAAAACAATATATCGGTTAAAACACTAAAAAATGAAGAATAATGGAACATGTAAACCTAAATTAAATGATTTGTTAATTTAATTCCAGTTATGAAACTGACTAATCTAATTTATTTAGCTTTATTTTGTGATTCCTGAAAGGACAGAATATATGAATTACCTGAAGAAGTAAGAAGAACCCGAGGTTTGATCTCTAACGATGTTGGGTTGCGTTTCTGCAGAGAAAAAGGAAATATGTTTATAATCCTGCGAACAGATTCATGAATGAGTGGATTAATGATGTGAAGTTATTGTTGTCAAACCTGTCGTTGACGAGGTAATTTAACTTCACTTGCATCTTTATTATAAAGCCAAAGGGCAAAGCGTCCATTAATCCATAACACAAACAACAGCAGTGCAGCAGAAGACGGTCATTAAAAACCAATAACTTCACCAATCAGAGGGACAATAAAACCACTGCAAGGGACCGGAGGAACAAATTCCCTTGCAGCTTTTGTGACGACATGTCGGATCAGACGGGAATCTGACGGAGGGTAATTATTAACAAAGTCCCTTGTCTGAACCTGCTCCAGTCGGCACTTTGGATTTCACACATGCAGAAGGCGTGAAAATTATCTGCATGTGAGGCGGGTTCAGTGGGTCAGGCGTTGTTTAAATGCCGACCAGTCAGGAAGATTTGGCACGAAAAGGAGATGCCAGCTAATCGGGGAAATGTGAGAAAACAGAAAACATAACAAAACATGAGAAAACATGAGAAAAAAAGAAAACATGACAAAACATGAGAAACAAGAAAAAACAGAAAACATGAGAAAACATTAGAAACATGAGAAAAACAGAAAACATGACAAAACATGAGAAAACATGAGAAAAACAGAAAACATGACAAAACATTAGAAACATGAGAAAAAACAGAAAACATGACAAAACATTAGAAACATGAGAAAAACAGAAACATGACAAAACATGAAAAAACAGAAAACATGACAAAACATTAGAAACATGAGAAAAAACAGAAAACATGACAAACATTAGAAACATGAGAAAAACAGAAAACATGAGAAAACATGAGAAAACATGAGAAAAAACAGAAAACCAGAACAAACAGAAAACAGAGAAATATGTAAGCAAACTGAGCCTTTAAATGATTCATGGACTTTTGTACAGATGGAAGAAAAACATCAGACAAATTGGTTGGTTATGAAGCCGCTGACACAACATCCATCCATCCATCCATCCATCCATCCATCCATCCATCCATCCATCCATCCATCCATCCATCCATCCATCCATCCATCCATCCATCCATCCATCCATCCATCCATCCATCCATCCATCCATCCATCCATCCATCCAGTTTTGAATTCTCTCTCTCCTTGCTGTTTTCCTTTTCCAGATGCTGTGTCATGATTCAATTAACACAAAGAACCAAAGACGGTTTGACAGAGAGGAGGAAGGATTTGGGTCCAACAAGGACACATTATCTTAAACATCGATCCCTGAGGATCATCGCTCCGTCTCAAACTCTGCTAATCATCGTCTTATAGATTCACCTTTCTTCTTTTGTTCTCCTGCTTCATAAAACCTGCTGAAATCTCCCACGGTTCCCTTGGTGGACCCGCTTTCACTTTAAATTCACTTCCATCAATATTTCAGCTCTCCATAGCCCTCGTTTCTGGCAGTGTCACTTTTTATTATTCAAACTAAGGTCAGGAGTGGCAGGTGAGACACATCAGTGATGATGTTGACTCCATGTTTAATTAAATGTCTAATTAAAAGAAAACAGAGCCAAGAGACTGTTATCAACAGAGAGAGACCTATGCATCCTGAAGGAAGAACTGACGGTGCTGTGATCTGCATCATTAGTGTGTGTTTGTGTTGCATTTATCAGTGAATATCATCTGCAGAAACAGGAGGGTTATCTCTGTGAGAACAACAAAAGGTCTAACTCGATTCAGTCAGGCTGTTACTAAGCCAAACGTTTTGGTTTTGGTTGTAGTTGGACCCAACATGAGGAAGAGTGGCGAAGTGGCGAATTTTTAATAATTTAAACATAAAGACCTACAATGATTGTCACGAACAAGAAACCCTTATGAAAGTGACAGAAAAGAGAGATGATATCCAGAGGAAGGAGTGGAGGTTGGGATGGGAAACAGGAGAGCTAATCAGAGGAGATGTGGAGCAGCTGTGGCAGGAAGAGACCAGAGGATGGGCAGCTGTTTTCATGCCTGATCGTCTTGATACTGTTATATGTTCTGGAGATAATAACATTTTGAGAGGATATACTTGCATTAATATGTCATTAATATTATATTAGTTAAAAATGGAACAATTTATCATCCAGCAAAATCTGTCATCATAACAGGCTTAATGTCAACACATGCCAGACAATAATATACGCAGAAATTAAACATAAAACACCAGAGATCATAACACACTTTTCTGTCTCAGACATTGTTTCTTCACTAAGTTGAGCCCGTTCTGACAGGATTATTGGGTTTCACCAACAGATTTCAGGTAAACATCAGGATTAGTTTGTGCTAAAGTGAATAACATTCAGAAATGCCAAAAATATCTCCAACTGTTGCTCATTGTGGCTCATTGGTCTGGATTGATGGTATCTCTGAAAGAAATATTGGCCCGGTTCCGTTCGGGTTTGTTCTGCTGGTGAATAAAACAAACCAAAGCAGAGTTTTATTACCAGGTGGAGTTTCTCTGAGGCTGGACTGTGGGGAGGAAGAGACGTGGTCCATGTTGATCTTCAGAGCAGGACTACAAAGACGACAACAGGCAGACAGAGTCAGGCACATAACTGAGATTTATTTATTTATGGTGAGGTTATCTGTAGGAATTATTAATGCAACCTGCTTCTGATGGGTGGAGCCATCCTCTCCACCTGCTGACAGCTGGACTTACTGACCTTCTCTGTTGACAACCAAGAAAAACTTATTTTATAACTCATCAATTAAAATCACGTCACCAGTATTAATATCACAGTTATCCCTGATATTTACTGAGTTATATGTATTTCCTACCATTTTGCCAAAAAAATAAAAACAATGTTGCGTCTCTGATTCAGTTAAACTCCCCACAATCCTTTGCTGCTTCACTCTCACTGTCACATGACCAGCCCCTCCCCCAATGGCAGCAAGATGGAAGCAAATATTGCTTATCAATATCAGATCAATACGCTAAAACATGACATTTCCAATAGAAAAAGGTAAAACCAACAAATGTAATTTAATCTATTTGTATTTCTCCTAAATTTTGTTCTGATCTCCATTTGGGTCGGTTAAATCTTATGACTCCCGATGGAACCAGAATATTACGGTGATGTGACAGTGAATTTAACCAGCCGTTAAATTCATCAGCTCAACCGCAGTTTGTTGCAGTCAGTAACTGTTTTCTTTCAAGGTTTCCTTTTCAGGGTTGCACTTGAGTTCACATTGACCCCGGAGAATAAAAGTTGCACTATATCTGAAAAAAAGCAACATATTGACCTGAAAACGACCGGTGATTAATTAGCTTACCGGAGAGCTGATGCAGTAGCGTAGAGGCCAGGTTGACGGACATGTCCTGCCACAGGACCGCTCTGAGACACTCGTCCTCCATCTTGGCTCCAAACAGAAAGTGCTCCTCTATTTTCACTCCAGAGAAAACCTGAGCGGCCATCTTGGCTCCAGATACAACCCCGTTCTCCAACATGGCCGCTGATGGAAACTGGCTCTCCTTCGTGATGCCACAGAAAAACTTGTTGCTCATCTTAGCTCCACTGAACGGTTTCTCTGAAGTCTTTGCTTTGACAGGACGAAAGTCGGCCATCTTGGCTCTGGGATGAAGGAGGTCCTCGACTGCGGTATCAGGAGCTGAACAATCCTCCAGTTTCACCTGAAACTGAAAACCGTTTGATGTGTTCAAGAAGCAGTCTGCTGGGTGAGAGGAAGAAAATCCATCTGCTGCGTTAAGCCCAAAGCTGTACTGGTCCACCATATTGGGTCCAGGGTGCAACTGGTCAGCTGGGTTATTCCTGGTGAGGAACTGGTTTTCTGGCTTCACATTGAAAAGATGGTGGTTCGTCATCCTTAAGGTGGAATGAGTCGTCTCCTTGACGGCCGGCTGACTTGGGGTCATGGCGTCGACCTCCAGAGGCTCCTCTTCCTCTTTGAGCCTCAACATGTGGCCGCTGACATCCTGGCGCTCTGGAACAACATGACAATGTGCTCTTCATTATCTCTGAACATGGTGACGTTTCTCCAACGTTTGTCTGTACCTGCCAGTTTCCTGAGCAGGTCTGAGGCCAGGGTGTCTGAGGTCAGGGTGTCTGTGACGGCGTTTCCCTCCGGGGTGTGGGTCAGCGACGGCGGCTCGGGACTCGCACCGGGACCGTCCGGTGACAGGGCGACGCCGGGTTCGTCCTGCTGCTCCGCCTCCTCCTGGCTCCCAGGATGCATCTGGGCCTTCTGGGTGGCCTCTGAAGGGAGTCACACAGAGTTCAGCTGGCAGGACCGACTTGACCCCTGAAAGGCCAAAGGTCAGCAGAGATCCTGACAATACCATGTCATAACAAGTTGATAGCATCCAGTTTTCTGGGATTTTATTCCTCTTTACCCAAATTATGCTGATTTAATTTGTGGTTCTCATCAGATATTTTACTAGTTTGATATTTTTAAATGCAGCCTTCATTGTCCAACCAGATTGTTATTTAGATGTTAAAGTTTCTACCAATGACCAGCCAAGCAGCTGGTTTATCCTGAGGTAGACTGGAATGTTGGGGGTATACCACCAAATTTTAACCTTTGACCTCTGAAGACTTGTAGTAAATCTTGGTGATGTTTGGCTCAACGATTAAAGGCAGAAACAAGGAAAACTTGACATTAGCTTGTGCTGTACAGAAGCCAATCTTTGCTTCCTCTATAATAAGCTGGTTTCCACAGCATGTATTAGTGCATATTAAGGCCTATTTGGTGTCTGAACCATTAAGACAGGCAGTTATCAACTGATTAATGATCCATGTATTTGTTTCCATCCACTATCTTTCCACTTTCTATCCAAAAAATGTTAAAAAGTTAAGTTGTATGAAATGTTATGCAATATTCCAAAGAAATTCAGCAGCTTTCCAAAGCTCAAAGAATCCAAGTTGGCTGTGCAGAGAATACAAATGATCAGACGGCGTTTTTCTGCTGTTTTTAGGGAATGTTTATGGATCCAGGAGGTTTGGGTGAAGAAATACTTTTGGATTATTGCAGGTTTGGTAATTTAACAGGTTGCTAAATAAATGCTGCTCTGTACCAAAGATTTTTCCTCCAATCCTCTATAAGTATGAACAATTTGCATGTGCTCGATTGGGATGACAGCTTTCTTCGATGGTTGCTGCTGCTTTTCCTGTCTGTCGGATCGTTTTTCAGTTACAGCTGGAATAAATTGGCTGCACTTGGGCCTCAGAGTCAGCAATATTTCATTAAATCAGGTAACTTTTCCCAATTGTTGCTGCTTTACAGCAGACATGTTGACAGGCTGTTTCCCTTTGCCCAGATAGCCCAAATTGTAATGACTTTTAACACTTTCCCTATAATCAGAGCCTTATCTGCTTTCTTTAGAGCATGTGTGTTAAACTCAGGGCTCAGGGGCCAAATCCAGCCCATTGTCACATTTTATATGGCCCTCTTAATTCTATAAATATAACCTTCAAGATAACAGTTGAGTGCTTAAATACTGTTTTGTCAATGAAGTCAAAGCAGTTTTTAATCTGTATTCTGCAAAAATACATCAATCAGTTCCTCCTTTCTTACTTTTACTACACTGTTGCCTTAGTGTCTCTGGATGCAAGCTATAATCTGAGATCGATGTGCTGAATAACAAACAGTCATATTTACTGTCAAACATAAACATACTGCAAATATTTCTAAATTAGATCTTCCTGTTGGGTTTCAACTGCTTCTAAAAACAACCAAAGCGTTTAAAAAATCACCCAGACCCTTTTTGGCAATAAATAAATGTTTCTTGGTGGAAAATGAGTCATTTCAAAAACCTCCTGATTGGGCGCCGTGCTGTTACCTAGCAACCGCAACAAAACTCCACGTGTACCCTAGCAACCCAAGCTGAGCTCCAGCACGTTTGGTCAGCTGGTTTTACTGCTGTACAATGGCTGCTGGAAAAGATTAACTGCGAAACAGCTGAAACACTGATTTCCTTAAAAACAACCCACCTGTTTAGAGTTGCTTTTGAACCATAATAAATGGAACATTGAACAACACTTTGATAATTGTGACGATGGTACATGACCAAATTGAATGTGTGTTATTGGTTTTCACCATTGTTGATCATGTTTATGATGGAAAGCATTTTGATCTGCCATGCTGTTGAAATATGCTACAAATAAACTTGATGGGTTGACTGATTACCATCCAGAAACCACTTGCTGCATTGTTGATTGTGTAGAAGGCTCCACTTCTGCTTTTCAAACATGTATGGCTGTATGATTGCACATCTGTTTACACAGCCATTTGTAAATGTTGAGAGCTGGGGGGCGTGACCAACACCAGCTTACTCAGATTCAAGGTGACAGAGGTCCTAAAACAACTCATTCTGAAACAAAATCTTACAATGATTTTGTGCAAAAAAATATATATATTTTAATGTTTTGCATACATTAAAGCATAATAGCTCACCTTTAACGGGTTTTAAATATACATTCTGGGACATTTGTGACCTTGAAATGTCTCAAAATGACAATAATTGACACTAAAGTCAGTGAAAAAGGTCAAATCCTGGAGAAGTGAAGTAATGAATCACCATGTAAACTGATGAATCTGTGTGTGTGACTACCTGAAAGCCTGATGAGGAGGTCAGACGCCATCTTGGTGCTGACATCAGGGCTGAACAGAGAGGTGGCTGCTGGGAAGGGACTCGAACCCGCGGTGCGCGCGCCACACACACTCATCGACAAAGCCTCATCACTGGAGTGTGTCTTTGTCAGTGCGGGGTGTGTGTGTCGTTTGGCTGCATCAGAGGGAGGCTGCAACAAACTCGACCCACGCTTCATCTCACAAGAGTGTGTGTGCGTGTGTTTGACGGGAAAAAAAAAATTAAAAAAAGGAAAAATCAAGAGTCAAAACTGAGAGAAAGAGAAGGGCAAGAGAGAAAGAAGAGGAGGAGAAAGAAGAGGAGGAGGAGGAAAGCAGCGCTGCTAAATAAGAAGGCTAACGTATGGAAGAGAGGAGATCATGGTGGAGAAGAGAGGAGAGGGAGGATTTGCTCTTCGCAGCGAGCTGTTGCTGCCTCTCATTGACCTGAAACACAGAGAAGAAGAGAGACGGATGGAGGGGAGCGAGGTGAAGTCGGGGAGAGAGGAAGATGAGGAGGGAGGAGGAAGAGGGTGAGAAAGTGGAAGAGGAACACGAACAAAGTGAATCTGTGAATGAATCAATTATTAAACAGATAGAGCCTAATAATAATAAGAGGATAAATCTTTCCTGTTACCACCATGGTAACAAACCCTGCTGTGTCATCTCCCTCCTTGACCTTCCCACCGACAAGCAATCATCAATTACGATCAATAATCGTCACTTCAGCCTGCCACCCTCTGTTAGTCTTGATCTCTTCATGCACTGCCATCCTGCCTCTGTGCTACGAGCTACATGCAGACACTACATGTACATTTAACTAACAAATAGAAAATAGTACTTAAAAATATTGAAAATATCACATAGCAATCAAACTTAAATATATCTAAATATAAAAATCCAAATATAATAAGGAATCAGAATAGTTAATATTAACTAATTAAACCAGTAAGATATATTTCTAAGATAAACAAAAATTATATAAGTAACAGAATAAAATAAATGTAAATTAAAGAGTAGAAATTATGCAAATTTTTAAAAAGTGGTTAAAAAAAGGTACAAAAAATAGAAAAAAATTGTAAATTAAAATTTTATTAATTTTGTTTAGGTAAAAATATTAAAACAACATAGATTAAATAAATTATTAAAATTTGATTAATATCTCAATTAGCGGAAATAAATTCAAAGTAATATAAAAGTTATATTTAAAAAAATAAAAACAAAGAATATAGTTAAATTATTATTACAATTATAAACAATGTATTTAAAACATAAAATGATAATAAATAATATAAATATTTGTAAATGTGATTTTTAAAAGAAAACTAATTTTGTAAAATTATAATGAGCATTTGCAAATACTATAAAACAAATAAATAAAATTAAAAAAAATCTTTCAAAAAAAAAAAGATTGTTTTACAAAGTTACATTTATAAAATATAATGCTTTTTTTAAAAATGATTTATTCTTAGAGAAGACACAAACATTCACCCCAAACATGTTGCTTTCAGTAAAACATTAAACGAAGCGATTTTGTTCCCGTAATCTGTCAGAATATCGGGAACATGTTGTGTTCCTTCCCTCGACCCCGTTTCCTCCAGCCTCGCGCCCCCGTCTCTAGGCGACACCATGCGGGCTGCTGCATCCGGCAGGGGGGCGACGATCCACCGGACACCAGTTTCACCACAACACCCCTCCCCTCCGGTCCCCTCGGTGTCGGTCAGTCGGTCGGTGCCGGAGCCCCCCGGAGCCCCGCTGTGTGTTAGCTGGTCGGTTACCTCTCTCCCTCCGTCTCCCTCCTGCTGCAACATGGCTGAACGGCGCTCGCGCTCCCCGGCACGCCGAGTCAGAAAGTCATCTCGCGGGGCTTCGGGATGCTCGGCTCCGAACCGCTCTAACGGTTTCCGCTCGCGCGCTGCCTCTCGTTACCGGGAACAGGGGCAGGTGTCAGCGCGCGACCACACACACACACACGCACACACACACACACTGTTACACACCGTCACACACACACTGTTACACACACACACACACCGTCACACACTGTTACACACACACACACCGTCACACACACTCCTCCGCTCCTCTTCCCTCGCCCCCTCCTGCAACATGGCTGAACGGTAACCCGACCTCACAAGACCTCAGAAGTCATTTTCACGGGTCAGTTAGCATCAGCGCCCGGTCATAGCCGGGACCAACCCGCCCCGGGACGAGTCCATCCCCGGCTTTTCCCTCCGTGACTTACCGGTACCATGAGGGCAGATGGTGGCGGCGCGGTGGTGCAGTCCGGGGCACAGCCTATATAGACTATAGATCTCATCCATATTAAACCTCCGGTTTTTACTTCTTCTCTTCATCCATCCTCCCGTTGTTACTCCCGTTTCTGCATCCGGTGTTACATAAAGTATTAGGGAGAGAAGCGGAGAAGATCCGTCTCCTCCCGGTTCCTGAGGATGACGGGTCGGTCACCGAGCAGGGCAGATGGAGGTTTCCGCCTCCTCTCTTTCTCTCTCCCTCTCTGAGAGAGTAACACAGAGCAGAAGAAGCAGTGCTTCTTGTACATGTAGTCCTGGGTTCATGCAGTTCCCACCATGAAGAAACCCAGAAAATACCTGAAACCCTGACAGACATGATCATGTAACTCTGCAATGATCGTTCGGGCTGTAAGCTGTTCATTGTGTCCACTTACTTCAAACAAGACAATTTAGAAAAAAAAACAACGTCACTTTCTTTTGATAAAAAGTTTTTGCGCAAAGATAAAAAATCGATGCATTTGGCAGAGTTGCAATGGAAACACTCCCCCCCCCACCCAAATCATGAGTCACGTGATCAATAGCCGGATGTTACTCCTGGCGAAAACCATGAAGAAATGCAACTGGAAGTAGTCTTTTTTCTGGATAACTAGAGCTTCAATAGAGCTCTTCTGGCACAGTTCATAAAAAGTTGTGTCATCTAAACGGGTTAAATCATAGTTTCTCTGTAAAATGGCAGACTACAATTTCCTCCAAATGCTACATACTTAGCCATTTTCAGGTAGAAAGGGGTTGTCTCTGCAGCGCCTTTGAAAACCCAGATGTTTCCTCTGATGGCTGATAGATGACATTAGTGGAACAAGAAGTGGTAGTTAGCTAGTGCTAACTAGCTGCTGATAATACCATTGCTAGCTCGTTAATTAGCTTTTGCAGTTGCCATCTGAAATGAGGCTCAGTACATAACTATAAGAACTCTCAGGCACTCTCAGGTTTGGTTACGATGTGTGGTTGTGAGCTAAACAATTTTATTCACCAACATTCAAATGTCAGTTCTTCAGAGGCCAAACGTGAGTCTAGAGTAAACAAACATCGTTGATGAGGAAGAAGCAGTGACAATAGTTTGTAGACTATGTTTAACAAAGAATATTAATAAAAATAAAGATGTCTCCAACATCCGCCGGAATTTCTGATGCACCATTCAGTTGACTTGTCTTCAGGATTGGACCGAAATGCCTGAAATAGCATCGTCAACATGGCGCACTAGTTTGTCTTATGTTTGTCACAAGCAGTGACATTTTCTGTCTCCCAATCAGTGGACTGTGTTGTGTGACACCAGTCAAACCATCCTTCTATGGTACCATACCATTGTCCTTTCAACCTGCAGCTGGAAAGGTCCAGGAATTTTGTGGACCTAGTCAGTTGTGAGGACTATCTTTACAGTAGAACCAGACAATATACTGTACCAAACCACACCGACATGTGCCATATAGTGGAAAAGAGACGGAGTTTATTAGAAGACAATTAGCATCAAAAAGACCAAGGGATACAGGAGAAAGGTACAAAAAGGTTTGATGTTCACATCCAAATTGACAAGAAGGGAGCATTAATCAGAGAAGACGACACAAGATCCAAAGATCCACAGTTCCAGCCAACAGACTACTGACAGGCCGACTGTTAGTTGTCCACTCAACAAGTCTGGCATCAATGGAACAAAGCCATAAATGCACTGATTGTAGCTTTTCACAGTTCGACAAAGTCTAGAAAGTATTGACGCTTGTTGGGAGGTACAGATCTAGAGGAATGAAGCAACACTTAGCTGTACCTTTGACAACTCCAGGATACTGATGTTAAGGCCACATTTGCATAATGTCAAAGTAAGAGCCAATCATGACAAGGTTAAAAAGTTTGAAAGATTCCTTTAGAAAAATGCAAGGAAGATTGGACTGGTTTTCAGCTGGGAAAGTCGTCACCATTCCAGAGTATTGTTCTGTCAAAAAGATGAAGAAGGTTAGTCTGAGTGACAGAAATGTTTTCAGAGGAGAAAAGCTTACTGTTGAGATCCAGAGGGAAGAGCATTAGTAGAGGACAGGCAGGTGAGTTGATATGAAGAGTACTAAACAGCTTTTATTGAAGAAACAAAAGCCCAACAGAGGAATCACAGAGATTGGCTGGAGCAAGGAGAATATGAGTGGGCAAATCTTGGAAGGCTTCAACGGGACAGAGATCCAAGAACAGAACATGCAAACAGTTGCTGAGGAGCTCAACAGTCTAATTACTCTAAACAACAACCTGATGGACGACACAGGCTTCAGCTGGTCGTTATGTACTGGTGGGCCGATCAGATGATGATTAGCATGTGTACCCAATGCCTGAGGGACCCAACAACCATGACCTACTCTGGCCTGACAGGTGACAACAGGTGAGCAGAGAACAGGGCGACACCTTGGGTATTACATCATCAACAGTAACGAGTTGCTCCTAAAGAATCAACTGGAGTCCAGGTTCTAGTTGTACCAGTTTCAATTATAGAATTAGAAAATTTGCAATAAATCTGGTGAAAAAAAATAATAAAAAACGGACCATGAGGAGTTTGTTTGTTGTTCTGATTACTGTTTCTTGTTAATCCCCCTGATAAGGGCCTGATCAGGGGGATTGAACTATTTCTAAGGCTTTTGGATGCGACTATCACAATGTTCCTTCCCAGGAGAGGCTGGACTACGAACTATCTTCAAGAATGCATTGACGGCTCATCCGAAAGGTCACTAAGAACCCAAAACTACTTATTTGCCTCAGTTAAGGACAGAAAGAAAGAGACACTGGCAAAATGGAAGAGTCCTGGTCAAAAAACCACTGCTCACCAAAACAAAAAACACAAAGTCTCGTCTCACGTTTTGCTAAAAAAAAAACGTCTTGATTTTTCCAAACGTTTGGACTGATGAGACAAGAATGGACCATTTTGGAAAGTGTTTGTCTCATTACCTAAAATTAAAGCCTTTAAGAAACAAACCACCTCAGTGACAGTCAAACATGGAGGTGATAAATTAAAACAATTCTGCAAAGAAGAGATCACTAAATTTCCTTCATAAAGATGCACATGTTAGTTGTTGCTGCCACAACCATGGAATAACCATGGAATCATTTTAATAAATGAAAGTATCATTTAAAAAGTTAATTTTCTTAATTTTAATCAGGTTATTTCTGATTGCGGTTCACCCACAGACGTATAGAAAGGTGCAGTTCTTTGTTACAGCCAGCAGAGGGAGACAGAGTCAGCCATTTATGCAAAGACCTTTCACTACAAGAAGCATCAGTAAAAAGAGAAAAAGTGTAAAAAAAAATAAAAAAAAGTTTGAAGGAATGTAATAAATTTCATCTTAGGGAGAAACTGGATTCATTTGTTGTTACATTTTAACATGATGGAAGGAGAAGAGGAACAGAGACTTTTCTCATAACTTCTAACCAGATAGTGTCACTTGGCTTAAGATAAACCTGGGCACAACTTTCATAAAAACACGCTAAAAACAAAACATATGTTGAAGTAATTCATATCAAAAAGGTTTGTAACATATTAAACACACAAAATCCCTGATAACAGATAAAAACACACCTCTGTTGTAATCAACTGGAGTAAAACTGTGACTGTCTTCAGTGAAATTTTATGTTCAAACATGATTATTTTTGATTGACCATTGATCAGATAAAACAAATTTGAACTAAAAAAACCAAGAGAAATCTTTTCATTCAAGTCCAGATAAATATTCCTAATTTGAAAATATTAAATAAGTTGAACTCTGAGGAATCTATAAAATTGATCAAACAGATTAGTTATTTGCCGGTTGCTGTGATTAAATCTCTAAACACATAGAAAACAATCCAGGACAGCCAATGTCTGCTGTTTGGTTCCCTGTTGCTCCTCCACAGAAGAAAATATCTTGTTAATTTGGTTCAACTTTTTCTTTTTTCTCTCTCCAAGTCTTAATCTCCACTCATTCTTTCTTTTTGCATGTTGGTTAATGTGACCCACTCCTCTTTGTTCCTTTCTTTTCATGTCTCCCCCTGTGTTTGCATAACATCAGCCTGACCCAGACTGATGTTTCACTGCCTGTTAAAAAGCGGCTGCGCAGTCGCGCTTTATTAAATAGGATTTAAAAATAAAATAAAACAAAACAAAAAAAATACACATTCCGACGAGCAGGCGCTTCAGAAACCTGCCCGGCCTCCCATTAGACTGATCTGCTCCTGAATCCATTCATCCGTCCAGAAAACGATGTTTTCCCCCTTTTCTCTCTGCTGTGTTTAGTTTCTCCTTCACCGCAGCTCATTTCTGCTCTGGAGCGAAATGAGCTCAGAAAGAAGATCAACAGAAACGTCCAGGAGATCCTGGAGGGAGGCGGCTGCAGCTGGCCAACATCCTGCAGATAATCCCGTAGAGAAAACTCACCTAGAACTCAAGGAATCACATCACAGTTCACATTTTTAATGTTAGGACTGAGTTAAAGTTTAGTTTTTATTTGTAAAATCTTCACAAAGTGATGGAAACTTTTGGCTTTTTGTATCAACAAAATAACAAATTGAGTTATACACTGCAAAACCACAAAATCATACCAAGTATCTTTGGTCTATAGTTTCTCATGCAAATATTTTAGTATACTTGAAATATGACAAAGCTAACTCAGATAAATTTTCAGTAAACTTTAGGAGCTTATTTTAAATCAATAATTCATTAAAATTGATCTAAAAAGTGTGACTAAAATAAATTACAAAACAAATACTTTGTTTCACTTATATATATATGAACATTTTATGTCTGTATCTGCTCAAAATTACTAAGTATAATTTAATTATATTTTATCAGCAAAATTAACAATAATAAATAATGAAGAGACAAGATTTGCCTCAAGGTAAAACACATTGGTAATATGTGAATTTATTGCTTTGGTTCTTTTTTAAACTTCATGAAGATGAGATAGACTAGCGTTTGGGTAGATTCTGCAGTTCTACTGGTTCTGGTTCTATGTGTCTCGCTCCAGTGGATCCTGTGAAATCCTGAAGTCGTCCTCTTTTCTCCCAGATCGGATAAAAGCCTCAGAGCTGCAGCAAACAGCAGAGCTGCAGAGGAGACCCGCTGAGAGGTGAGGACGCTCCTGATTCATGCTACCATCATTTTTAGTAAGAACAGGTGTAAAAATCAAATGTTCATTTTTTAATTTAACTTGTCTAAAATGTCATTGTTTATTTTAAATGTAACTTCTTAAAAATTATTTATTTACTGTTTATTTTACATTGAATTTATTTAATATTTATTTTAAATTTTTATTTATTTTTCATTGAACTTATTTGAAAAATTATTAATCTATTTTAAATTTAATTGTGATATAACTAAATCAAAGACAAGTGTTAGGATTTCCTGAACAGAGACAATCAATAAATGAATTATGTGCACAGAAGGAAAAGAGTCCAGCGTCGTCCTCTGGGTATTTGTAGTACTGACTATTTTATTTATCAAATCATCTGTTTTGGTAAAACATTTTAGTTTTTCCACTTTTGTTGTATATAATTAAGTTTTGTTACAAAAATCCCTCTGATTCCCATGTATAGTTTTTGGATTAATTTGCCAGTTCTGCTCTTATCCTGCAACCTGTTGGTCTAATTTCTAATGGCAGTAATTATGCAGGTTTAATGATGTCATCCAACCTCCTTCTTTGGGGTGGAGCTGTGGTTTTATGCTCCATGGTTTTGCCCGTCCTATGTTTCTCCCACGGAGCAAGTCTCACTTCCTGTCAGGAAATGATTCCTCGACACATCCGTGCTCATCCCCTGGACCCGAAGCACAGCTTCATCACCTTACAAACCTCATCATCCTCATACCTGCCTGGGCAGCTAATGACAGGTACCAAATAACTCAGTTATTTAAAGGTTCCGTTTCTGAAAGTAGGGTCGTGTGTTAACAGGCAAGCTAATAGGCAACAATGTCAAGCTAACAATACCTAAGAGTTTACCTAAAATTAATAGTCTGCTAACATTAAACTATTTCCAATTAGCCTAGCAATAAGACTGGAGCTAACAATAAACTGAGGCTCGCACAAGCCAGCTAACAGTTAACCATCTTCTCCACAGACAATATAACTAGCAATGTTACGCTAAGTACTAACAGTAACCACCAAACAGCACACCTTACATCTACCAAAATGTAGCTACAAGATAACATGGTAGAGTTGAAAGCTGACACAGGCATGGAAACATAGTGAAGCTAATACCTAGCACAGTCGAGCAGCTTTCAGGAGTCTATCTAACAGCTAACACTTATCAGCAGAGCAGAGATAGCGTCTAGCCAAATTTAGCTAGCACCTAACAAATTAGTCCAAGCAGCTAACACAAGTCAGCAAACAGAAGGAAGTTAGCTAGTTTTCAGAAGTTTAGCTAACAGAGTCCATCTAACAGCACAGCTAAGGATGATCAGAATTTAGCTAGAAGCTAACACTGTAAAGCTAACAGCTAACACAGTTAACCTAACTGCACAGCTTACATCTAGCAGAATTTAACTAAAAGCTAACATGGTAAAGGTTCTATGTAGTTAACCTTAAATGATTCTCACATTCCCTCTGGTATGTCCATCAATCCCTGTCTCGACTCTCAGTGACTGTACGAAGCTCCAGAGACTTCATGGGTTTCCTGCTTCAGGCTCGCAGTATTGGTGGGGAAAGGAAGGATTTTGGAGAAGGTTCTGGTATCAGGACAGAGAGACTCGGTCCACTTCTGGTGGGTGGCTCCTGGATTCGATCTCCACCAGGTACCCACACCTTACGCTGCCTGTTTGAAGGTGACACGGTCACACACTCGGACAAACAGCTAAAGAGGAACCTGTCGTTTGTGTGGAGAGCTCCTGACATGCCAAAGGGAGACATACGCTTCCAGTAAGCTGCCATTTCTTGATCACTACAAGCTATTTAGGGAATTCCAATAAATCAAAATGTTTATTTTGCCATATTTGTCTTTTAATCTGTACGCCAGCATAACTGTGGTACAATCCTACTTCGTGTACTGGACTGGTATTGAGTCTGCAGTGGTGCGTGATCGGAGACCCAGTGCTTGGAGACGCAGTAAAACCAAAATGGCGGATGGAGCAAGCACAACTGTTGCTGTGCAAGAGACTGTTACTGCCCAGACAGGTTGGCATTCTGTGCTCATTATTAGCTAAAAACAATGAGAAAGTTAAGAAAATGAAAGGTGTTGTGAAATGTTATTTATTTGTCTTTGTCCTTTTTCCCCTCCTTGCGCTTAAAGCTAGCAGAAAAGCTACTCTTGCTTCCTTCTCTGGACGGCCTTCCAATATAAAAAATGCAACGGAGATTCTGAAATTTTTGAAAGTACAAACCGAAGATGATCACACATTAGAAACAAACAGCTCTGTAATTTGGACAACTCAAACAGTGGCTGCAAGGAAGACTTTAACTTCAGGATCTCCTCAAAGTGCCATCAATGAGTCTCCTGGATTCCTCACAGGGGTGTCAAAATGGATAACAACTGAACCCTTTTCTTACACAAGTATCTTTCCCTTACCATCATCACCTCCTGATACAACATATAAAGGCACTACAGCACAGTTTCCACTTGCTTCATATTCCGCATTAAACTCTCTTGTACCCTTACAAATGGACACATGGACAAAGAGCAATGATCTCCAGATAAAATCACAAGAGCTAAAACTTAAAAACAATCCTGGAGGAAAACATTACAGGACATTTATGGTAATACCAACCCAAGGTCCAACAATGGAAACCTTTATCAGTACAGATACTCCTGTAAACCACACTTTGACAGACCCAAACAAAAACAAATCAAGAAAGTCTGAGACCTCAAGCAGCACAGAGAAACTGGGTGACAGTGTCCTGTCTAATTCCCAATTGAAGATAGTCAAGACCGAAGTAACCCCATCCTACCAAAGATCTTCGTTCAATTCTTCTAGGGTTCAAATGGCTGTAGATCTTAAGTCCCAAACTAATGCAAGTCAAACTTCTGTAGGACCCAAAAGTACTGCAAAACAAACGAGTTCACCTAAAAAAACAATCCCCATCTTTCAGCAAACTCTGCCTCAAAGTCAACCTATTTCTCTCCAGGGAGAAAATACCCATTTTGACTCATTAACAGAGTCTTTGAGACCCTTTTCCAAACAACTGTCCCAAACAAGAAGGGTGTTTTCTGTAACTCCTCAACCGGTCACAGTCTCCTCAGGAGGAAATGATCCTACGTTTCAAGGAAATACCAAAACCATGGTCCCAGTTGTTGGTTTTGTCACTTCATCATCTTTTTCAGTGTCTAATTCCTTAAGCAGTTCTTTTGCTAGTTGCCGCAGTGAAAACTTCACCTCAGTCACATCAGTATCTCCTATTCATTCCCCTTCTCGCCCATCTCAGAACAAACCTCAAACAACCCCAATTATTCTGTACCAGCATCACCTTCCCCAATATCCATACCTCACCATTTAACCTCTACTAAATACCAAACTACCACTCCACCAACCTTCTCTACCCCTTTCACCATTTTTTCCTTCAGTGCCTCCAACTATCCAACAATGCCCTCTTCCCCTACTTCAACGTCCTCAACTTCTAAATCCTCGACTTTCTCTTCTTCTACTCCCTCTTTCTCAGTTACCTCACCATCTTTAAGAGTGAGTTCCTCATCTTTTATTTCACCCATCACCTCCCTTAAATCAGAACCAACATCCGCACCTCATAAAATCACTCTAGATCAGAAGTTGGTAACCCAAACCCACCATGCACCAAACTCTGAGACTAGATTCACCTCTCCGGCACACAGAAAGTTTGTCCATCCAAACCCCAAACCTTATCCCAACCTCAGACCAAATCATGACCAAGAGATCAAACCAAACATTCAAAACACGGATACCAAACCAAAGCATCCCTCAGATCCCGCTGACGCTCCGGACAAAGAAGGAAAGTATCCGGACATTGTTCCCAGACACAGCGCCTGGGAGCTGGGCATGCTGCTGGGCTGCTCAGCCGGGTTGGGCATGGTGCTGGTGGTCGGGCTGAGGTACGTCTACCGGCAGGCCTGCGGCAGGCGGACTGAGGTGACGCTGAACGGCCGCGAGCGAGAGTACGGGAGAGGGGACCAAGGGCTGGTTCACCTCCAGGAGTGTGGTGATTTGGTGAGAGTTAGAAAAATCAGAGAGAACAGCTTTGTGCTTCTGGCGGAGTACGATATTCTGGCTTCACCTTCAAACTGAGAGGCTCATAAAGACCGATTTTAAACATCCAGAAGAGGACAAGGCCCACCAAAAAAAAGAAAAAAAAACTTCACAAAATTCATATTCTGTCATATTTTTTTCATACAAAAAAGTCAAAAATTTTGAGATCTCTGTCAGAATTCAAAGGAAAAATAATGTAAGAATTCTGAGAAGAAAAAAAAAATTCTGGGATTAAAGTCACTTGAGAAGATTCTTTTTCGTGGCCATAATCCTCTTCCATAGGGAAGCGAACGATGACAGAAAGAAATGTCAAAATCTACCAGAGGAAATTCCTTTTAAGAAGAAATGGATATTATCCTTTATATCCCAAACCTGTTGCCATAACGCTTACTTTATATTAGTACAACAATTTTAAGTACTTTTATCATATTTTTATATCGTTGTTGTTTTTATTGACTAATGTTGACACGTTTGTTTCATGCCTATAACTGTCTGAGAATATAATAAAAATACTTACAAATTGGTTCCCTTCCACTACGTTGTGGCTATTATTTCTAAACTCAATCTGTTGTTTTCCTTGATGGTCCATTCATGTTTCACTGATCTTGTCAAGAGCAAATACAAAAACTGTAGAAAACTATTTTCCTCAATTTTGAAATTAAGGAATTTTCTAGAAAAAGTGAAAATCTGAGTTTCAAAGGTCAAAGATTTAATCTCAGAATAAAATCTGAGATTGATTGGCGACTTAAAATGCCACTTTCCTCAAATGTCAAAAATTTCAAATTTACAAATTTGACTTTTCAAATGTCAAATTTTTTCTCAAATTTCTCACTTTAATTCCCAAATTTGTCATTTTTTCAGAAAATCTGTGACTTTCAAAACTTAGAAATTGAGTGTTTTTAATAGAACATTTCTCGTTATTTTTCAGCAACTTTTCAAACTTACAAAATTTCCTTGCTAGATGTAGGAAATGGCTGAGATTTTTGGCACATATTTTCTCCTTCTATTAATAGTGGCTCAAATACATCATCATATGTCTGCTCATGTGTAAAATAACATTTTCAACTTTTAAGTCACATAAAGGTAATAATCCAGTTTATTTTCAGTGATATGTGGTTTATCCCTGCAGGCGGAGACTTTACATTAGACAATGATGTTTCCTAAATGGCCTAATTCGCGTTAAACCCCCCAGATATTTCACAGGCTGATATTAGCTGCCACTTCTGCTTGCAAACGATGTGTCAGAAGCGCCATCTGTCCTGGAAAATGACAGGTCACTAAATTAATGAGCCGCCAGTCGATTTGTTGCCAATTTGTTGTCTAACCAGCAACTAAAAGGAATTATTTCCACATGGATTTGTCCTGCAGTGCAAACGAAATGCTCATGAGGAATATTCCATCTTAAACACCAGGTGCTGCGTTGTTTTGGGGCTCCATTTTATGAAATGTGTGATAAAAATATTGTTTTATGTATTATTTCAAATGAAAAAGAACAAACTACCTGGTTAAAACCCAAGAAACGCATCCAAACAGAAACTGTGGCGTTTAAATAACACAATAGATATATTAAAGTTAAATAACAGGAGATCGTTTGTTTAGTTTTGTCGATTAGAAATATGAGTGATTAGCTCAACACCGCCCCCTGTCTGTGTAACACCAACACTCCTTCTGCTATATTAAGAAAGGGTCAAGAGGCCAAACTGTTAATGTTCATTTCTATATTCAATGTAACAATCCAGCATTAATTTAAACAAAACCATTTACAGTTTCTGGCAGTCAAAGCTGGAAGAACCAGAATAGAAAACAAATAACAGAACTGGTCCCAGAAACCTCACCCACTTCCTGAAAATAGATCCTTTTCCCCCAGCACTATTTTTCCCTCAAAAGTTCAAGATATAAAAAAATAAAACACATTTCATTTAAATATTAAACAATGGAAATGTGATTTTTGTTTTGTTTTTCGTAGAAAATAGTAACAGGCTTTGATGGCAAACAGCAAATCCCGCTCTGCCACCTGGAGGTCCTAGTTGTTGTTGGTCGTAACAAGGCACTTTTTGTATCCTTCCGCCGCTCTGACGCATCAGACCGGCTGCAGGTTTGATAATTTGATCCCCTAAAACAGAAAAAAACATGTTAAAACACTGATATTAATTCTTGTTAAAGATTTTAATTAATTGTGTTTTCATTGACATAGTTTGATGAAGAAGGAAGTGAAATGGTGAAATAAAGGAGTGAATTTCCCACCACCAAACAGAGAAGCTAATTTTTGCAGCACTGATCCCAGCAGGTGAAATGTGGGCTTTTACCAGCAGGGGGCGCTAATACATAGTACTCTCAACTAATTTACAGCCAATCAGAAAAATTAAACGGTTAATACTGTAAAGGCAAGACTAAGAGGTTTTATCATTTGAAATTATGAGAATAACTTTCTAATATTAACAGTTTAAAGACTGAAAAATGTCATAAAAATTCCAGGAAAAGAGACTTCTTAATGAGAAACGGGCTTTTATAGAAGATCTACTACGACGTATTAAGAGCCAGACGAAGAGAAAACAGAGTAAAGAAATTACATTAACAGAATAAAGATGAAATATCAGAAAGAAATTATGGAAATGTTGTTTTAGGGAGAAAAAGCTTCAAAAATTAAAGACATTTTTAAATTTTAATATTTCTTATATCTATTTAATTTTTAAATTAACTTATATTTTGTTTTTAATTTATAAATTTTATTGACTTTTATTGCTATTTTGTAATTTTTGAAAAATTACTTTGATATTCTTTTTATCATTTAACTTATTTTCATGAATACTTTTTTTATATTTAGTGACTATTCTTTTTTTATCTTATTCAACTGAATAATTTTTATTCGGTTTATTTTTTTCATTGCTTATTTCTATATTTTTAGGAAAGATTTTCTGTCTATTTTATTATTTAACTGAAGGATTTTTGTATTTTTAAAACAATCATTTTTAATCGAATCATTTTTTAAGCCAAGTTTTCTTCATCGTTGCCTCTTGAAGACCTTAATTTGGGCTGAACGGCGCCACCTGCTGGCGGAAGGAAACAGGATAGTCTGGGATAATTAAATAGCGGCACAAATCACTCTGACTTAAAGTGTCAGGCAGAGACAGTCTGCTTGGGGTCAGTCTTTACTCACTCAGCCGTGGTCTATCTCAACAATAGACTAGTCTGTCAGAGAGGACAGAAGGTCAAAGGTCAGAACTGGAGCACAGCCAGCAGCCGGGGAGCTCCACAGCGACTGGGTTACCTTCTGTCGGCTCGTCATCCAGCTCCGGATGGTCGGCACCAGGACGGAGCCGAGCAGGATCTGGGCCGGGTGGTAGATGAGCAGCGGGACGGAGATCAGAGACAGATGCTGGTAGCCTTCGAAGACGATCTTCAGCATCGGGATTCCTGGACACAAAGCCGGCGTTCAGTCGCGCTCACAGCAACGCCAAACGGTTTTCCACACAACGAAAATTGTATTTCCCCTCATAAAACTATGTATTTGAATCCATTTTGTCTTTCACTCTTTCTACATTATGGCCTGTCATTACTTTTGATTTGTTGTCATTCAATGCAAAACTTGTTTGTTCAGTTAAGATTAAAAACACAGTAATGTTGGGAGCCGACAGTACCCAGAGTGAGAGACTTGTGTGTGGAGCAGAACATGATGGCGACGGTGTCAGCGGGGCTGAATCCTGATCCAGACCTGAGAGGAAAAAACAGTGTGACGCCATGTTAGGGCCACTGTAGGCAGAAAGAAAGAGGAGGAGCCAAAATAAAATCAGATTCCCTGAAATTCTCCAGAAAAGCCCTGGAAATTTCTGCGTATCAAAAGGCACAGATTTGCTGGTTAAAACTGGTTAGTGAGCCGAATGTTAATTCATGAAGAAACTGACCTGGTGGAAAAGGTGAAGGTGAGCAGCATGAAGCTGACCTGGATGGAGAAAACTGCAGAAAACAAAAGAAAGTGAAACGTTTACAACCTCGATTTTAGCTGAATCCAAGAGGAAACATCTTACTTTACATTAGAGAGGCAAAGCTACATTTATAAAATACATGCATTTATTTACTTAATATACATTTACATAGAAACTTCCAGAAGCATTTGCACCTCTTGGTAAAGTCTGCACTGCAAAAACATAATATTACAAAGTATTTCTGTTCCAGTTTGGCAAGATTGTTGATTTTGCAGTGTATAAAAAGCCTCAAAATAAATTTACCAATCACCACAGGCAGTGTTGTCATTGAAACCACCTTTTCCAATTCAAAGGTTGGAGTTTTCTAGTTTTCAGGTTGACATTAATTTATTTCAAGGCTTTCAAACCAAAAGCTGAAAGCCAAAAACCCAAAAGGTTCCAGTCAGGCCTTCAATACTGACTGATGATGACGACCAGCAGCAGGCTGGTGGGGTCCAGCTCGATGTTGGGGTTGCTGAACGTGTCGCAGAACGTTGTGTAGATAATCATGAGGAGGACAGCGCTGCTAATGGCGCCGAACGGAGGCTTCCGGCGCTCCAGACACTCCCTGAAGAAACCGCGGCACACCTGCAGGCCGAGCCGGGAGGGGTTAGCAACTCGGTGTGTCCCAGTTCAGGAGCTGCATCCTCCGAAAGCCGCGGATATTCGACAACCGGGACAGACAAGCTGTGAATTCGGACATATCGGAAATATCGGAGCAATATTGCAATAAGGTCATGTGCTGATAAACTGAGCAGGTATTTGAGATTTACACAGCTTCAGTAATTGCTGCTCTTCACCGCCATTGCCACTCAAGTTCAACACTTGGCCCCGCAATGAATCATGGGATGTGTTGGGCCGTGAAGGATACGCCGAACCCATCCTTCAAATCTGGAGAAACAAGGGCGCATTTGGAGGAATCTTCGTGTTCGGTTAGGATCTATCGCGGCCTCTGAAGGATGCAGCACTAATTTCGGACACGGTCAACGGGAACAAAGTCGCCGGAAGTGGTGCGTCAAAAACGTCTTCCTACCTGTCCGAGGATCAGCGGAACAACAACCGTCATGAAGAGCTGAGAGAAGATGGAGGTGAAGGGGACAGAGGATGAAGATCCGAGCTGCAGGAAGAGGAGAAAAAATGAAACATCTCCAGAGTGGACTGGGATGGTTTAAAAACACAAAACATTGCAAAAACACAACATCTTATTAGTTCACTTTAAATAACTTACAAGTAACTTTTCAGCAAGATATACAAGCTTGTTTTAAGCCAATATTTTTTTAATATTGATTAGAAGTGATAGTTCTCGTGGCAGATTATTTCACTGGTAACAAAATATTTTTCTCATGTTATTAGTGAAATAATCTGCCATCAGAAATAGTACGTTTTTCATCAGTTTCAGCCATGTAGTGCCTCTAAATAAATTCCTATATCTTGCTGCAAAGTCACTTGTGAGTTGTTTCAAGTGCACTGAGATATTTGGAGTCAAAAGTAGACCAGAGTTACTTGGTAATAGTTTGTGTTTTTTGCAGTAATTAAAGCAAAAATTATTCAAAATAGAAGATAGATGATCCAGAGTGGGTGAAGATTTTGTGATTTAATTATAACTGATTAATAGTAAAGAAACCCTGAATTAAAACATTATAATATTGATTTAATTATGAATGTAAAGAGCAACAAGAACATCTTTTAAGCCCAATTTACAATAATTTGAGTAATTTTATGGTTTGCAAGCATTTTTTGTGATTAGAAAAAGAAATTAGAAAGGTTTGGAAAGGTAAAAAAGATAAATATAATTTAGATGAACAGATTCCTACCAATGAATGCTGATATGAAATAAGGTGTAAACACTTATGCAACAAGGAAGTTACACCACCTTTACTAAAGAAAATGCAAAAAGATAAATACTTTGAGTATTTATCTTTGTGTATAGTGAATGTTTTATGACTTACAAAGAGGAGCAGCAGCAACGGAGTCACCACAATCCCCTGCAGGACAAACAGAAATCATTAGAGTCCGGCCCGCTCCGCTTCGGCCCCCAACCCGACCCAAACCCGACCCGCTCCTCACCAGGAAGCTTCCAAACGCAGAGTTAAAGATGGCCGCCGCCTGGAGACACAGAGAGCAGGCGGTCAGCAGGGAAACAGCACCAGGCCGACTCACCAATCTCCTCTCAGGCCGAACCGACCCGGTGTGAGCGTCACCTCGTTCCCGCCGACTGCTTTGGTCAGAATGACGGCGGAGGAAACCGGAGGGGGCATGCAGCTCACCGTCTGTAACCTGGGCAACAACAACAGGAAGAGGGTCAACTGGGGAAAAACACCAGGAAAAAAACGTTTTCCAAATACATTCACATCTACACACCCCCAGTGTATTAAAAGCCTGGCGGGCCACCAGGCTTTACTTGTGCCCCCACCTGGCTGAGCATTGCTTATTTAAGTCCTTTTAAAATGTTGGCATTTTTTAAGAGTTTATAGACTTTATATTAATCTTCCAATCTTTCAATAACACATAATTATCAAGAGGCATTTTAAAATTTCCTATCAACTTTAAGTATTTTTTAACTCAAAACATGACGGTCTGCTGGATGAGTGACTGACCTCTGACCCAACCCACCGGGCTGAGCAGTTTTCTGGAGGAACCTGTTACACAATAAAATGTGTTCTTGGCAGTTTTAAGTATTTTTACATAATGTTGACTTGGTATTTTCAATGCTGCTGCTGCTGTTTTAGTAGCAAGCCCCAAAAGAAAAACACAGAGCTTCAACTGAACATGAAGTTTGGATGTTGCTCCTAAACTTGCATAGAGAATCAGCTGTAAACGGTGACTGTGGCTCTTTGTGTTCGGCTCTCAGGTTACAGTTTAGACCCAGACAGAGAGCCTCTTTCACACACACGCACACACACTGTACCCTTTGAGAAGCCACTGGTCGATGGTGGTCAGCGCCAGGACCTGCAGCAGCATCCAGACGACCAGGGGGAAGAAGACCAGTGTGAACGACTGGACGAAGAGGTGGAGGCGAACGTGGAACAGCGCTTTCCTCAGCTCCTGACGGGGAAAAAACAGACGTGACGATGGGAAGTGTCTGAGCTGCACCTGAAGGCATCGCGGCGCTGACTCTCACCTCTGTTTTCAGAGACAGGCGCTGTTGAAGAGATGAGGGAAACGGCGATGTAGGCGATGGTGACCTCTGGCCTTAGTGGACCTGAGAGGCAGGAAGAGCGAGGTGCTATTGTACACTGCTAACCACAGTAACAGCTGATAGACCTTCAGTTTATGTTGTTCTGATGCAGTGGTGTCCAAACATTTTGACCTCTCACATTCATTGGCCAAATTTCCTACCATTCTGGACTTGTGGTCAGAAACTGAACAATAAGAACCATTTGTGGAACAAAGTGTGCCACACTACACCCCTGTTCAAAAGTTTTAAATTAGAACAATGGTTAATAGTCTTGGATGTTTTTTCATACCAGATTAAGTTTTAATTGCTTATTATTTCTTTGTTTCTTCAAAAAAAAGAAAACAAAAATTACAAATGGTAGAAAATATTTTCATAAAGTGGCTTTGTTTTCAATCACTGAATGTTACTGGAAGGAGAAACGCCACATTTTTTATATTTTATTCATATTAAAATTTAAAAGGCAAGAATAAATACATATTCCTATGTTTTGTAAATCGAAAGGAGGATTTTCGAGGCGCCTGAAGGCATCACTACAGTAGCAGCCCAGCAGGTTGTCTTATCTACAGGTGAGGCTGAATTACATTAGATTACTTATTTATCAGTATTTGTTTCACTACTGTTGAGATAAAGAATCTCTACAGTAGTTCTAAAACTGTCCTCAGATTAAGTCTGAAAATCCCGAGACTGATTTTTCCTATAAAAACTAAAAGATAAGAGGTGAAAGGAGTGTTGACATTCCCGCTGAATGCAACGTGTCACTAGGATCCAGGCAGGAGGAAACATTTCAGCTTCTTCCAGATAAATTGGGATCAATTCACATTTATATTCAGCTGAGCTCTCCGTTTCTAACGTTTGAAGTTAAAAACTCTATATTCATTCAAAACTTTGACCCAACCGCTCCGAACTCCGAGGCTCACCTCCTTTAACACCGACACGGGCAGCAGTTTGGCCGACAGGATGACCAGCACTATCCCGATGATGAACCACTCCTTCCTCAGCTTCGCCAGGAGGCCCATGATTCAGCTGCCGGGGCTCAGCCTGCGGCCTCCCAGCCGGCCCTCCGATCGCAGCAGCCAGGCTCAGGTTTCTGCAACCTGCCGCTGCTTCTTCCTTCCCGGAGCTCAGTTGGAAAACACCAACGGAGCAATAGGAGCCTCTTCCGGACACGTGGGCTGTGACGCCACCGTAATGACCGAAGAGAGGCGCACAATAACTTACCGTAACAAACGTTTGAAAAAAAAAATATATATAAAAATATACAGAGAACACAACACACTTCAGCCCAAATAAACCACTCAACCGTTTACTTTTGCAACTTCAGAGAAACGTTCACAACTGAAAATACCGGATACAATCTCAAAGCCGGAACTTGTCCCTTAAAAATAAGAGCGATAAATCTAAAACCGGAAGTTAATTATACATAAGCAAAAACCCTGTGTGCCAAGAAGGGATACAAAAAATATAGAACTTAATTTTGGGTTATTAAAAAAAAATCTAATTATAACACATGTTTTAAAGTTAATATATTTAAACAATAAAGAATATTACAGTATAAATTAAATCAGACAAGAGGAGAAATGTTAATATTAGATTCTAATAATTTTTTGTAAGAAAAAACGATTAAAAGAACAACTACATTATAGACATCAAACAAAACATTCTGACCAAAAACATTGGCGTTTAAACATTTATTTTGTTGGTCCATTGACATCTGGCACAAGTTCATAGAGTTTAAACTGAAAGCCAAAAGGTTTCCAGACACTTTAATAAAGATGAACTGAATCAATATAAATAAGCTGAATACTAGTTAGATCACATCATCTTAGTTGGAATTTGCTGATAAATGAAAGTTTTAAATTATTTTCAGATGTGAAATCTTGCCATTCTGTTAATTTATTATTTCTTGAACAAAATAAGTGGTGGGCAATATGCAAAGATAAGTAATAATATATGTTTTTGTTTGTTTTCTCCTTCCTCTCAACAATCAGCTGCTGAATGTTAATTTCTAAACCCTCAGCAGAAGTCCTGGTGTCCTCTGGTTTCCTTCCAGTCCACCAGCTGCGTCACAGAGGACTGAGAGGGCATCTCCATCTCAAAGATGTATCTCTTGATGAGAGAGTGTGCAGATGTATGACCCAGCTTCACCTGAAAGAGGTGACAAAAAACAGGAAAATTGAGAGATATCCTCTGCCCTTACTTGTAGTTTTGGTGATCCTCAGGGATCTACACTCACACCGCTGTTGTTTAGTTTTAAAATAAATTATCTCTGAACTGTATCCAAAAAGTCTGAGGTGCATTCTCACCAGTCTGGTTTAGTCTGCTTTAATCAAACTGGTTCTTTTGCCTCGAAAGTTTGGTTCGTTTGCGGAAGTGTGAACGTGCAATCGGACCAAAACAGTGAATTCTGGTTAACCTACAAGTCTTTGTTCGGTTTAAATGAATTCTGGAGCAAAACAAAAGTATATGTGAAGGCCAAGCGGACCGGAGACCTTTCCAAAAGCAGGAAGCAAACTACAATGCAGGGCATTCTGGGTAAATACAACCAAAACAAACACCCTTTTTTAAAAAATGCAAACAGCAACAGGAAATTGTGTTTTAACGACATAAGCGTAAAATAGTTTTGAGAAAATTTGAAATGGAAATGCAGCTACAGTTTCCTGGTACCAAACAGATGTCTCCAGATGTGATTTTAAAAAGATGCACCTGTGCTTTATGCTGCAGAAGCACTTCTCTGGCGGTGCAGGCAGCTTTGTAACTCTGCAGGAAGTATTCACACGATTTCAGAGGCCGATTCTGCAAAAAGACAGATGAAATCACTTCAAAACTGACAGGATAATAATCAGCTTAACGTGTCTCAGTTTGGTACCACATCGCTGTAGATGCAGCCCAGAATCAGGCTGATGTCCGCCAGCCTCTCCTGCATGTCGCTGCTATTGCACAGATCTGCTGACTTCTCCAGGATCTCAATACACTCCTCGATGTTTCCTTCGCTGTTAGAAAGATAGAAACCCTTAGACCAACACTTTGATTAACTGTTGTACCAAGCAAATTTTCTCTTTAGACCATTACATGACCATTAGCTTTTGGAAAAAGATCATGCTCATGTACTGATTCAGTCTAAGCAAAGAAGATTTTTCACTAATATCTAGGTGCACGGCAAACAATATGCACAAATTTCTACTTGGGACTCACTAAGAATGACACCATAAAATGCTGATGACTTCAGATTTTTAAATATGGCTGATTTCATTGCAGCGATATGGACGTAAAGTTTAATCATGATATTTTGTGCAACAATCGTAATAATGAAAAAATGGCAATAAAAACTATCCACTATCTTTTTCAAGCTTCTGATTGGCTATGACTGCAAGACGCAGCAAACCAGAGCCAAACAAAACCAGCCAAGACCAACCAAAGCCAATCAGGGCCAATCAGAGTCAACCAAAGCCAATCAGGGCCAATCAGAGTCAACCAAAGCCAATCAGGGCCAATCAGAGTCAACCAGGGCCAACTAGATCAAACCAGAACCAATTGGGGCCAATCAGGGTCAATCAGGATCAAGTCAATAATTCCTTAGTAATGATAGAGAGCATTTGTTCCCCTGGCTGTTTTTTCACTTATAACAAGACATTTTCCCCATGTGATAAATGAAATAAAGTGCCAGTGGAACTATTAACTTTTATTCACTGTTAAGAACTTAATGACTATATCTTGCTTTGTCTTATTTCAAGTGTACAAAGATATTTCCACTAGACAAAAGTGGAGGTATCTTCAAAATATTTTAATCGTATATTAAGAAAAACAAAACAAATGTCAGTGTATTTTTTCCAAACCAAACCAAAGGATTTTGGAGGTGAAGCTGAGAAACTGCGATACAAAAATAAAACTAAATTTAGCTAAATACAATTTAGGTTTTGGATCAAACTTGACTTCTGTTTGAAACGTCTCATCATTTCATCCCACAGCATGATGCAGCCACCACCATTGGTCGGATGATTGACCAGAAAGCTGAAGCCAGGTTTGATTTTTTATGACTAGAAACATCTGTGATGATGTCGGTGTTCGTACCTTTGTAAGGACTTGGCTATGGCCTTGTAGGACTTCACCAAACCTTTAACATCTTGCAGAGAGTCAAACAGTTTTACACAGGTGTTGAAGAGCTGGGAGTCATTTGTAAAAGACACTCATGAATTTATTTTCGTCAGCTGAATAATGTTTCTGTTTCCAGCTAAAGTCAAGATTTGATACCTCCTTGGCTGCTTCATGATCTCCTGAGCTCTGTAAGCCCATTCCTTCCCTGAAGAACGACTCGGCCTTCACCGACTTATCGCCGCCTGAAAAAAACAGATTACAGACTCATGACAAAATGCTTAAGTTAGGTTTCAAATAAATACATTTCAACCAAAAAACCTACAATTTTTCAGAAAAACCTGTTCATGGAAGCATAATAGGTCACATGTTTAAACTCCAGGGTAGAACAGAGGAAAACGGACGGCCTGATAATATTAATACCACATAACGTTTTTAGTTATTATTTTCTTCCTCTCCCCCCTTCTGCCCAAAATAACTGTGACCCTCAGTTAATTGAGAAATATCAGAGAAAAGCAAAATAATGCAAATCAGACAATAATTGCCAGGATGAGAGAAAATAAAGTATATTCTAATATTTCAAACAATTTTACTGTTTTTGTTGTGACACAATTTGGTTATGTTTTACATTTGTCCTAAATATATCCATTTTAATGTTTACTTCATTTTTTTTTGTTCTAATTTAATTTTGTTGCTGTTATTTGCTACTTATTTTGTAGATCAACTCCTCCTTTTGTCAGTCTGTAATGTTTGTTTTACGTGCACTAATTGGTGAATTAGTGTGAACTCCATATTCTCCTCCCACTCACCCTCAATAGCCATCTTGGATCCCAGCTGCAGCAGCATGGTGGCTGTGTCGTATTGCTTCGCTGCGAGGCAATTTTCACCCAGCAGGCTGTAGATTTCTCCCAG